AGCCAAGCTCTGGCAATTCTGCCATGCCCTTGGTCTCATAGCTGGCTGGCCCTCAGAGCAAAAGACTAATCCAAGTAGACCAACCAAGATTCCCTTTGCTATCTTATCAGAGGAGCTGTGATGGCCGAGAGTTTAATCCATTAGGGTCCCCCCTTGCAAGTTAGAATCCTCACAGTGTCACACAGTGTCTTCTGCTGTCTTTTTTTTGTAAAGCTTTGAATTTGACTCTATTGGTCAAATAACTGGTCAGTGAACAACAAAAGCAGGACTTCAACCTGTGAGAGTAATAGCCATTGGGTTTCAAGTGCAACGCCTTCACAGCTTGGTACACAACGGGATCCTTGACACTCAAGTGACATGTAGCGAATACAATAAACATCCAAATATGAAGCATTTGTTTTAACCACATTGTCATATTGAAATCTAAATTCACCATAGTTCCGATCCAGTGCACTACAGAACTGAACATACACCATCAGCTACCTTTCAAATGGAATGCTGTAAGTAGGATTCGATCAGGGCCGGGGATACCTCATTGAATTTCAAGTCCAACGACTCAACCTCTTGGCCATCAGAGCTCCTCACATATCAAAACAATGGGACTTTCATTGGTCATCTTGGATTAGTTTTTCCCGGTTGGGGTTTAGTAAACCTCCCTATTTGGCTCTTCTGGTCAAAACTCTGGTCAGCCAACAGAAAGTCAAGTGACATGGAGCGAATAAAATAAACATCCCAACATGAAGCACATGTTTTACATGTTTTTCCTGTGCTTACAAATCATGACAGTCAGCATGATGATACTTGTTCACAAACAAGTGGTCATCTGCAGGTTTTGGGTTAAACAAAATGTCGTACCACAGACATCCTGTTCTGTGCATTCAAACTGGAATAAACCAGCTTGAGTCGTCTCTATTTTGCTGATGCAGGACATGCATTGTTGGTCCATATATATATGTACGTATATATATATATATATACAGTATATATATATATATATATATATATATATCTTGTTATTGTTGTTGTAAGTCAGATTTCCCCATCTAGCCTTTTCAGGGACGGCTGGATCACAGAACGGAATGAAGAAGGAATGTGGAGGAAATTAGAAGAGACATTAAGAGTAGTCGTAACACAGCAGCAAAAGGTGGATCTGGACTGCTCTCCCCTGACAGCACAACCGGCACAACCCGTATTGTAACATGCGGCTGGATATCCGACCATGGATGTTCCACCTGTATACTCGCCTCCCCAAACGACGATTTAAAGAAGCCCTCCAAACCCCCTGCAACACCCCATCCGTCACCAGCCAGATGTCGCCGGACCCCCACCACTCAGCCACCAGCACCAGAGCCATCGGAGGCGGACGACGATGGTCCGATATATACGACGTGCCCCCTGGTAAAAGTCGCCGGAGAAGGCGGACAACCAATGCTCGTTTTCCGAGCACGGAGCCCCAAGGATATGAAGGCCATAACCTCCATGGGAAGTGGGAGGCCTACGATTTTAGGACAAACTCCTGAATGTTATAAAAGAAATACGACAAACCTTGATCAAACTCCAACGGCTACGGACTATACACATGGGTGCCAGCGTCTCAAAAATCACCCATGCGTTACCGGCCCAAGACTTTCACATAATCAACATAGATTATACACGCAGACAATAAGAGATAGTCATGCAAGCAATAGTATTGTCATTCCCAACCAACATGAACCTAAACAAGATCACCAACTGTCGGCAAGAAGATGGAGAAAACTGTCACACGTTCCTGTGTCGCCTGACTACGATTTACACAGTAAACAGTGGCATGGAAGTCCCAGAAGACCGAAACAACATGACGCCATGGGAAGCTCACCTCAAGAGCTATTTTATGGACGGGCTCCGCCCTGAAACATCCACATGGATAAGACTCAACCTCATTGGCTGGAAGAATGCTCAACTAAACTAGGTCGAGCAGCACGCAAGACCTGGTCAAAGAGAAGAAAAGAAAAGACCAAACATGTAAAGAAACTCACATGCATGCCGCGGCTCTCACCCTGTTCCACGATTAAACAGGAAATCAGAGGGGCCGAGGCGGATGGAGGGGACGAGGAAGACGTGAGGTTTTCAGATGTTCCCAGTCAAGAGAAGGCAAGGACAGCACTGGCTGTTATAATTGTGGCAAAAATGGACATTGCGCAAGAAATTGCCCCAGGTTGGCGTAAGAATAGAGGGCGTGGGTGGAACGACAGCCAACGATGCTACGATGAACACGCCGACTAACGGGGGGAGACGCAGGAAGGGGAAAGGCCCACCTCAAGAAAAGACAGCGAACAGGGAAGTGACACACACAGACACACAACACATGAACAAATTAAAACTGCAATAGGGAAGTTAGAAGCACGTTACACTCCTATAGGCACATACGCATACCTGGAGAAGCTAGATTGGAAACAATTACCAACAATTGAATTAATCATAAATTAAACCAAGATCCCCTTTATGGTAGAATCAGGAGCTACCCACTCCGTGCTTATGCAAAAAGTATTATCAAAAGACCCAAAGATGAGTGGTAGATTCATGCGGTCTACCACAGCATCAGGCGTAATGGAAACAGAACAATTTACAGCCCCAATAGTCTACACAGATGAAAGAGGAAGTCGAACAAAACACTCACTCCTGCTCTCCCCATGTAGCCCTTTGAACCTACTGGGAAGGGATTTAATGTGCAAACAAGGAATATGTGTTATGTCTACTCCAGAAGGCATTAAACTAACAAGGTATGGGGAGCTAGGATAAACTATGGTAAAATGCAACCCGACCGAGCCAAAATACATCTACCAGTATGCCATAAAACCAGTACATCCTGCGGTGTGCCCAACAAACACATTATTAGCGAACTTAGCTCAAGCACACACAAAGAATGATAGACAATACATGAAAGAAGATAACTTACACTGCACGACACACATATCAGAAGGGTGCGTATGAGAGAAAGTGGTTTATGGAAGGTATGCTTCATGAAAATGTACAAATTAAGGAAGTGTATTGGACCGACTCACGATGCGCAGCCTCGGTGAGAATACCGCAGAGACCGAGCATCGGGGCCCCGTCGCCCAACAGGTTATTCTCGTTTCCAGATCCACCTTTTCCCTTCGATGTACCCCACTCAGTTCCACATGTGTCCCTCGCCAAAGGGCGGAGAGACCAATGGAAGGATTTGGGCCCCTGGGTAGAGGAATGCAAGTTAATCCATATATGGGACCCCACAGACGACCCTAGAACAGCAAAAGGCACAGACAGTGAGGGAAAGGTAATACAGGCACCTGTTTCGTGCGACCGTCGTGGGCAGAGGAACAGTGGTACCAAATCCATACATGTTACTTTCACAAATACCTACCCACCAAATGGTTTTCAGTGGTTGACCTTGTGAATGCATTCTTTAGTGTACCGGTACACCAAGATAGCCAATATGGGTTAGCATTTACATTCAAAGGGAAAACATATACATGGACTCGCCTACCCCAGGGGTACGCAGAGTTCCCCACAATATATAATCAGGCGTTACAAGATGATTTAGACTCATTAGAATTGCACACTGTTACAATATGTTGACGACCTGCTCATCTGCTCTCCCACAGAAGCCACCTGCAAGCAAAATATGGTGGCCCTGCTTACACACCTTACACAAAAAATGGCACAAAGCGAGCAGGAAGAAATTACAGTGGTGTTCAAAATCAGTTGTATTTTTAGGACACACCCTGACCCCAGACGGAAAAACACTTACAGACAATAGGGTGACAGCTATCAGAGCAGTCCCCAAACCACAAACAGTGGTAATCATTCCTGGGGATGATGTCATACTGTAGACAATTTATATCAGAGTACAGTAGTATGGAAGCCCCACTCATGGACAAGGTATGATGTCATCAAACCCAATCACCTGGAATCAGGAAGCGGACGAGGCATTCAAAGGCCTAAAGACTGCCATGACAACAACACCGACGTTGGGATTGCCTAACCCAGACTAACCACTCCAACAGACAGTGGACATTAAGGGAAACTTTATGACATCAGTATTGACACAAGAACATTGGGGGCGACAGCCCCCAATGTTACCGGTAGCCTACTTCTCATGTAAACTAGATCCGGTGGCACAGGGACTTCCCCTGTGCATGAAGGCTGTAGCAGTCGCAGAAAAGGCTATGTTCAAGGGATCTTGTAGGCTACGCAACATTAACTCTCCTTGTTCCCCATGCAGGCGCAATGTTATTGTTGGAGCAGAAGACAACACAACTGTCTGCAGCACGGTGGCTACGGTATCATAACACACTGCTTGACATGCCGAACATTACAGTTAAACGATGCAATGTACTTACCCAGCCACTTTGCTCCCCATAGAAGACGATGGGGAACCACATGATTGCTGTGCTTTCGTTAACACCATCTTCTCCCCCAGAAACTATTTGAAGGAGACACCAATTCCAAATGCAGAATGCAAGCTGTTTGTGTATGGCTCAGTGTCCCAAAATCCAGAAGGAAAGAATCAAGTGGGTTTTGCTGTCTGCACATCACAAGAGGTAGTGGTGGCAGGTTCACTACCGACCAACCTCTCACTGGTGGCCCTGACAGAAGCATGTAAACATGCTAGTGGTAAAACTGCAAATATCTACAGACAGTAGATATGCCTTTGGTGTGGTTCACGATTTTGGCACCCTGTGCACCAAGGGTTTATGACGTCAACAGGTAAAGACATAGCAGACCACACTTGATTGCTAAACTTCTGGATGCTGTGCTACTTCACATGTATAGCCATGCCATTTAATCGCTCAACCTGTACCAAGAACAACATCAACAACCTGACCTCATGGACCTTCGAAATGCAACTTTGCCCCTTTTGGTGTCTCATGTATAAAGGAAATCCAGCTCATCAGAAACTGTTTACTAATGATAGCTCCTGTGGTATGCAGGCACAGAACCACCCAATCTTCCGTCCGCTAACTAATAACCCGGGAAGGTTTTGGATTTGGTTCCAGGATTTGAACCTGTGCGGTTAACACCCATTGGATTTCAAGTGCAACGCCTTAACCAATCAGACATCACAGCTCCTCAGGGCACATAAAAGGTGGTTCTCAGTTGGTCCACTCAGGTCATTCTTCTGCTGTGTTTGTTTCAGAAAGCTTCCCCAAATAAAGCACTTGTTTTAACCACCTCACAGGGTTGTCATATTGCAATCTCAATTCACCTTAGTTCCGATCTAGTGAGCAACAGAAATGCATATACACTATCAGCTTCCATTCTAACGCAATGTTTTAAGCGGGATTCAAACCTGGCAGAGAACACCTCATTGAATTTCAAGTCCAACACCTTACACAGCTCCTCAGGAGACAGAAAAAGCAGTTCTCAGTTGGTCCCCTTAGATCAGTCTTCTTCTGTCTTTGCAGAAGTTCTGATCCAGTGCGCTACAGATCCGCATATACTCCATCAGCTTCCTTTCAAATGCAACACTGTGAGCAGGATTTGAACATGGCGGAGGACACCTCGTTGTCCAACTAGTTAACCTCTTAGCCGTCAAAGCTCCTCAAGGCACAAAACAATGGGACTTTCATTGGTCATCTTGTATGTCTTTTCCTGTTGGCTTTTAGTAAAACTCCATCTTTGGCTATTCTGGTCAAAACTCTGGACAGCCAACAACATTACATTTACATTTAGGGCATTTAGCCGACACTTTTGTCCAAACCGACCAATGTTGGGCAAGTTACTTTAAATTAGTAACTTAGTTACAGTTACTAGTTACTTCTTTCAAAAGTAACTCCGTTACTTTCAGTTACTTGTTACTTTCAAGGTAACTAGTTACTAGGGAAAGTAACTTTTTTTTAACTCTAAATTATCTTATTAATGTGTTGCCTCCCTAACTGGATAGCTAGGAAGGCTGCCAGTCCTCTGGCTTGCTTACATGTAAGTCCTATCCTACCATAAGCGCAATGCACCACCTAGTGACCTGAACATGCCATAGCATAGAAAAATAATGTGCATATTTCCACGAGAGAAATCCAATGCGACTGTCGTCGGTGCGTCCATGCTCGTGCAAAATATCTAAATGTGTTAGTAAATGTTATCTAGATAGTTAACGTTAAGTAATCAAATGGAGAAGGGAAAAACACAATGGCCAGAACTGAGGACAGTAACTAGTTGCCGTTAGTTTTGCTTTACTAACGAAAACATGGTGGAAGAAAATAGTTTGATGGATGGAAAACTAGTTAATTTATTGATAATTTACCGATGTTCTTTGTCTTCTTCAGTTGAAGGCATATTGTTGAGATGGGATGATGGATGATGGCATAAAAAAGTTTCGCGGGCTGTCAACATCAACACTCTTGCATTGCCTTGTGCGAGCATGGACGCCTGGCCAATCCTAGTGCTCGAATGCTACGGAGGGTGTGGTTTGCCAAGAAAAGCAGTGGGATCCATAATAACGCATCGACTGCCGCCATTGTTGTTTTCATTCATTTACTTGCACGTTGCTGCATAACGTGACTCACGTCCGCTTCACATCCACCACGGAAACTGTAGTCCTGGGTTATGCACGTGAAGTAACGAGTAACAAGCCTGTTTAAATCGCAGTAACGATAACGCGTTACTGATTTTGTCAAAGTAATTAGTTACCGCAAAAGTAACGTAGTTAGTCCCAACACTGAAAGCTACTTACAATAAGTACATTTGTTAGAAGAAAGTGCAACAGTAAATCGCTATCAGCAGAGTAAAGATTTCAGAAGAACAGGTTTCAAGCACCCAATTGCTAAGTTAAACAATTGCTAGTATACAACAGAGATAAGTGCGAAAATACTGAGCGCAGAATATCAAAGTGAGCCAGGACATACAAACACAGAATAATTGCAAAGTTGTTTTTTTTATTAGTGGGGGGGAGGGGTAGTAGAGGAAGGATGCTAAGCAGGGTCCAGGTGAACTCTGAACAGGTGGGTCTTGAGTCTCTTGCGGAAGCAGGTGATTAACTCTGCAGTCCTCATGTCAGCAAAGAGGTCGTTCCACCATAGCGGTGCCAAGACAGAGAAGAGTTGTGACTAAGCTGTGCAACCTTTGCCTGCTCTCAGGGATAGCGATACCAGCCGAGGTTTCTAGCCGGGGCATGGGGTCTGACTAGTGCTTGGAGGTAGGTTGGGGCGGTTCCGTTGACAGCGTTGTAGGTCAGTACCATCGTCTTGAATCTGATACAAGCTGCTACAGGGAGCCAGTGGAGGTCGCGGAAGAGAGGGGTCACATAGGAGAACTTCGGCAAGTTGAACACGAGTCGTGCTGCCCTGCTTCCCTTGTAGCGAATTAAGTATGCTTCCAAATATAAAGCACATGTTTTAGAGGATCATCATATTGAAATCAGCTTACTTTCAATCTAGTCTGTGGCACACATGTTCACCATAGAATTCCTTTGAAATGAGAAGCTGTGAGTGGATTTGAACCTGCATGGGGATACCCCATCGGATTTAGAGTCCTTAACCCCTCAGCCATTACAGCTCCTAATGACACATAACAAGCAGTTATCGGTTGGTCCCCTTGGATCAGTCTTCTGCTGTCTTTGCAAAGCTTCCATTTTGGCTCTACTGGATACAAACTTGGTGAGCAGGATTTGAACCTGCGCAGGTAATAAACATTGTGATATCCAACGCCTTAAACTCTCAGCCATCACAGCTCCTCAGGACAAATAGCAAGCAGTTCTCGGTTGGTCTCTTTAGGTCTTTGCTATGCGAGGCTTCCATTTTGGCTCTACTGGTTGAGAAGCTGCTGAGCATCATTTGACCCTGCGTGGGGATACCCCATTGGATTTCAAGTGTAACCCCATTGGATCAGTCTTCTGCCTTTGCTTTGCAAAGCTTCCATTTTGTCTCTACTGGTCGACAACCTGGTGAGCAGAGCCTTGGATTTTGAGTCCAACGCCTTACCCACTCGGCCATCACAGCTCCTCAGGACATCACAAACAGTTCTTGGTTGGTCCCCTTGGATCAGTCTTCTTCTGTGTTTGCTTTGCAAAGGTTCCATTTTGTTCATATTGAATAGTTCCAATTCAGATCCCCATATACTCCATCAGAAAGTAATAATAATACAACAGTGGCAACAACCCATAACCTGGTGTGATAACAACTTTCTACATGTGTACATGTAGAGGGTACCCCAGTCTTACCTCAGGCACTGGTCCCCACCACAAACCTTCCTGTCCAACAAAGCAAAGTCAGAGCGAGTGTGAGCAAAACAAAAGAGAGGCTTTTTAAAGGTGTCCTCCTCAATCTAGTCTGCGACACACATTAATGTACTCCATAGAACTCTTTTGAAATGAAACACTGTGAGCAGGATTCGAACCTGCAGAGCGACACCACATGGGATTTCGACTCCAATGCCTTAACCTCTCTGCAGAGAGGTTTGTCGTATAAAAATCTCAATTCCCCTTAGCTGTGATCCAGTGCACTACAGATCCACATATAGCATATATATTGTTTCCCTCTAACACGGAACCGTCGCAACTCTGTCATCCTTAGGTAGCCCGGCTTCCAATTCCGCCCCTCACACTGTGATTGGCCTGACAGATTTTCGGTTTACAGCACCGAAAAACAACAACGAAGGGCTAGACCCCCTGGCTGCAAATTAAATTTGCTGCCGCTAGGGGCGTCTAGATTTCTAGGCTAAAGATTATCATGTTGAAATCGCAATTCAGCTTACTTTCAATCTAGCCTGCAACAGACATGAATGTACTCCATAGAACTCCTTTTAAATGAGACGCTGTGAGCAGGATTCAAACCTGCATGGGGTTAACCCATTGGATTTCGAGTCAGAATCAGAATCAAGTTTATTGCCAAGTAGGATTGTACATACAAGGAATTCGACTTGGTGTAATTGTATCTGTATATATGTGTATGTATGTATGTATGTATGTATGTATGTGTATGTATAGTCCATGAGTGTGAAGGCCTGGAGAGTCGCCTCGCCTGGCACCACAATCTCGGTGTCATGGAGACAATCAGGACCCAGATAGAGTCAACAACAACAGGTGTCTGTGGGGAGTGGGGGGGGGAATGCAAGAGCATCTCAGAGCATCATTCTCCAGGGGGATTGTTGTGTTCCAGCAGTGACCTTGGCCGAGGCAAGTGCCGGATGGGGGGGTGGGCGAAAGATACGATTGCGGGTGTTTGGTCTTGGGGCGAGTAGAAGGACTAATATGCTACGTTAGTGTAGCATTTAGGTCCGGGCCTTGTTGATCAGGCTAGTGGCGGATGGGAAAAAACAGTTCTTGTGGCGTGAGGTTTTGGTCCTGATGGACCGCAGCCTCCTACCAGAGGGGAGTGTCTCAAAGAGTTTGTGTCCGGGGTGGGAGGGATCAGCCACAATCTTTCCTGCACGCCCAAGGGTCCCGGAGGTGTACAGGTCCTGGAGCAACGGCAGATTGCAGCCAATCACCTTCTCTGCAGACCGAATGACACGCTGCAGTCTGCCCTTGTCCTTGGCGGTGGCAGCAGCGTACCAGATGGTGATGGAGGAGGTGAGGATGGACTCAATGATGGAGGAGTAGAAGTGCACCATCATTATCCTTGGCAGGTTAAATTTCTTCAGCTGCCACAGGAAGTACATCCTCTGCTGGGCTTTCTTGATGAGGGAGCTGATGTTCAGCTCCCACTTGAGGTCCTGGGAGATGATGGTTCCCAGAAAGTGGAAGGACTCCACAGTGTCAATTGTGGAGTCACAGAGGGTGATGGGGGCAGGTGAGGCTGAGTTCTTCCTGAAATCCACAACCATCTCCACTGTTTTTAGAGCGTTGAGCTCTAGGTTATTTCGGTGGCACCATGTCACCAGATGGTCAGCCTCCCACCTGTAGACTCGTCACCATCAGAAATGAGTCCGAAGAGGATGGTGTCATCCGTAAACTTCAGAAGCTTGACGGACTGGTGACTGGAGGTGCAGCTGTTCGTGTACAGGGAGAAGAGCAGAGGGGAAAGAACGCAGCCCTGGGGGGAACCGGTACTGATTGACTGGGAGTCGGAGACATGTTTTCCCAGGTTCACATGCTGCTTCCTGTCAGACAGGGAGTCAGTGATCCATCTGCAGGTGGAGTCAGGCACACTCAGCTGGGAGAGCTTCTCCTGAAGCAGAGCCGGGATGATGGTGTTAAAGGCAGAGCTGAAATCCACACACAGGATCCTGGCGTAGGTTCCTGCGGAGTCCAGGTGCTGGAGGATGTAATGGAGGGCCAAGTTGACTGCATCGTCTACAGACCTGTTGGCTCTGTAGGCAAACTGCAGGGGGTCCAGGAAGGGGTCGGTGATGTCTTTCAGGTGTGACAGCACAAGGCGCTCAAAGGACTTCATGACCACAGAGGTCAGGGCGACGGGTCTGAAGTCGTTAAGTCCTGTGGTCCTTGGCTTCTTGGGAACAGGGATGATTGTAGAGGTCTTGAAGCAGGCTGGCACGTGACATGTCTCCAGTGAGGTGTTGAAAATGTCTGTGAACACTGGAGACAGCTGATCAGTGCAGTGCTTCAAGGTGGATGGGGAGACAGAATCCGGTCCAACTGCTTTCCGGGGGTTCTGTCTCCTGAAGAGTTTGTTGACGTCCTTCTCATGGATGGAAAGAGTCATCACTGAGGTGGGTGGGGGAGTGGGGGGGGACCTTTAAGGTGGGCATTGGTGGAGGTGCCCAGGCCCCTGCTGAGGAGGGGGAGGTGGAGGTGATACACTGGAGCTGGAGTTGTTGGGAGGAGTCGTGGGGGATGGTTGCAGGACTGTCCCTTTGTCTCTCAAAGCGGCAGTAGAACTCGTTCAGGTCATTGGCTAGGCGTTGGTTGTTGATGGAGTAGGGGGCTTTAGGCTTGTAGTTGGTGATCTGCCTGAGCCCCTTCCAGACAGATGCAGGGTTGTTGGCTGAGAATTGATTTTGGAGCTTCTCAGAGTACAGTCATTTAGCCTCTTTCACCACCTTGCTAAACTTGTACTTTGCCTCTTTGAATCTGTCTTTGTCCCCACTCCTGAAGGCCTCTTCCTTATCCAACCTTAACCTTCGGAGTTTGGCTGTGAACCAGGGTTTGTTGTTGTTGTAACTCACCCTGGTGCGTGATGGTACACAGCAGTCCTCACAGAAGCTGATGTATGACGTCACAGCCTCTGTGTACTCATCCAGACTGTTGGTAGCAGTCCTGAACACATCCCAGTCAGTAGAGTCCAAACACGTCTGGAGAACCTCCACCGCCTCACTGGTCCACTTCCTTGAAGTCCTCACTACAGGTTTGCAGAGCTTTAGTTTCTGCCTGTATGCAAGAATCAGATGGACCATGATGTGGTCAGAGTGGCCCAGTGCAGCGCGGGGGACATCCCTGACTGTGGTGTAACAGTGATCCAGAATGTTCTCCCCCCTGGTCGGGCATTTAATAACCTGTCTGTATTTAGGGAGATCGTGAGTGAGATTCCCTTTGTTAAAGTCACCAAGGACAATAACTAAATAGTCTGGGTTGGTCCACTCCACACACAGGATCTGGTTGGCCAGCATGCGCTGTGCGTCCTGCACATTGGCCTGCAGCGGGATGTAAACACCGACCAGAATGAATGAAGCAAACTCACGGGGTGAATAAAAAGGCTTACAGTTTATGATGAAAGATTGCAGATCAGGGGCCGTATTCACAAAGGATCTTAGCGCTAAAAGTAGCTCCTAACTGGCGAATTTAGGAGAAACTCCTATAGGCGGTGGGCCGAGAGGCCGTATCGTGTTATCGACACTGTACAAACGATGGCTAACCTGTTTTTTTGTAGATCATCTCTAGAATTGCCAACAAACCGAGCAAAAATTGTTGCCACTCCTAATTGTCTCGCATATTTGAAAGCTGATAAGTTATTCAGCTAACTTTTCCTGGCAAACACAATGGGCAACTACGTCCAGGGTCCCAAATATATGACGTACTTACTGCAATTGTCCAATCGCGTGTCTGTAAAATAGCCGCGTGGGTGACGTTTATGTCAACAAACCCGGTGTGGAGACAGTAAGGAGGAGATGGATTTTTTTAGTTAACTCAGTCTGTCGGCCTATTTAACTTGATAAAAAAGCCCTTAATGTGAAAGTACAGGTGATTGTTTTTACCGTATTAAGATGTGATTTGTCTTTATTCTGCTGCCATACGATGTCCTTATTTCTTTGTGATCTTCTTTAATAAATGCCTTGACTTCAATACAATGTTGCAATGTTTTGCTTGTGAATTTCACCTATCATATCACTGTTAAGATCACCACGTGATAATAAGCTAGTTTGTACAATTCTCACTCATGTTTGCTAGGCAGCATGGTCTGAATAAAATGATGGAGTGCTGTATGCATGTATCGAAGGGAGACGACCACATAGTCCCCTTTTCAGGCATTAGCTGGGAGAAATTCGCCAAGTCTGTTTTCCAGTGGAGAGATCTAGGTTGTCCAGAGAGTGATGTAGCAGAGGAGGCAGTTCAGAAATTTAATTTAACATGCCATGAGCCTACTACTGCAGTGCCAACCAGCAGTGGCTATCATAGGCAATGCTACTACCATTTCACAAATGTCACCAAAATCAAAAGAGCACAGAAGAGAAGAGAGAAGGAAGCTGCGAATGAAGGTTTGTAAAGACATATGAGATGGCCTATGAACTAATAGGTGAACTTAATATTGAGTTTGAACCCAGTCCAAGTTTGAATCTGTCGAGAAACAGTGTTTAGAGGAAAATACCACCACATAATGGTTCAAAACATACAAGAGAAGGAGTTGGCTTCATGATAGTAATTTTAGTACTACATGGTGTAATTACAATGGTTTAGACCAGTGGTTCTCCAACTTATTCCGTCAATCCCCGCTTTGGTGGATTTGAAATTGTATGTACTTCTGTTAGAGTGCTGGCAAAGCATTTAGTCAAGTCAAAAAAGGGAAAAGGGTGCACTATAAGAATGTTTTATTCTCTCTCACAC